ATATGAAAACTCCTATCGCGACTTGATGCATTTAGCTTTGCACTGTTCTCTCTGGGGCGATGGCCGTTCCTATACGGTGGCCACTGGCCACCATGTGAAGGCGTCCAACCCGCCCCCCCCCCCCCCACCCCCACGGTGTGTTTCTGGAGCGTGGGGTAGTGTCTGACCTGACCTGGCCTGACCTGGCCGCCCGTGCGCTTGGCGGTGCGTGCGACAGGCGGTCGAGCTGTGTCTGCAGCACGGTGCCGACATCACCAGTCAGCAGGACGATCTCTCCACGCCCGTCCATCTGGCCTGCGTGCAGGGCTCGCTGAAGATCACACAGCTCATGTTCAGCGCACAGGTGGGGTGATCACGATCTTCGGCTCCACGGTAGCCTGGCCGTGGCGAGTGAGGAGTGTTCCAAAAGCCATTTCAAGAAAGGAAGTGTTCGCGGTTGATGCAGCGGAGTATCGGGTCATTTTTCACAAGCAGCACTCAAATCCCCATGTCAAGGACCCGAAAGCCTGGATTGGGGGTTGAATGACAGTGGGGCGACAGCATAAATGGTTCCAGCCATGGCGACAAGAACGGGAAGCAGTTCTTCTAAAAGTAACCTTGGAAGATTGTAGCAGATTGTGCGCGAGTTTTCGATACAAGCTTCCGCAGAGCAGGTCCGCCTACAGCGCATTTCAAAAGTACAGGTTGATATAAGAATTTGAATTTCGGCTCTCGGGGTAAATATGGCCGTTCCATGAAGTTTGGGTGTGTGGATGCTGCTATGCATTATGTTGGAGTCCCACGTTTAGAACCAAACGGAAAAAAATCGCCAGCGCTGGGGTGATGAGTCTTTTCAATCTCTTTGTCCTGCTCCCTCCCTCCCTCCGTTCACAGGCACCACCAGCTTTCTCCCGCTCATCGGCACCTGCTACCCTGCCTCCGCTCACAGGCCTTGCTCGCTTCCTCTGCTGCTGCTTCTCTCCCTCTGCTCACCGGCACCTGCTCCCCTCCCTTCGCTCACCGGCGCTGCTCCCCTCCGTCAGGTCACTGGGGCTGCCGTCCTCCCTCCATTCAATGGCGCTGCTTCCCTCCCTCAGGCCACTGGCGCTGCCGTCCTCCCTCCATTCAATGGCGCTGCTTCCCTCCCCCAGGTCACTGGCGCTGCTCTCGTCCCTGCGTTCACTGTCACTGCTTCCCTCCCTTGGTTTACAGGCGCTGTTCCCCTCCCTCAGGTCACCGTGGCTGCTCCCCTCCCTCCACTCACTGGCGCCGCTCCCCTCCCTCCGCTCAGCGGCGCTGCTCCTTTCTCACCACCCAGCGGCGTCGCTGCCCTCCCACCTCTCACCGACGCCACTATCCCAACGCCGTTGCAGCCCAAGGTGAAATGGCCCGTGCTGAATATGCGCGACTCCGCCGACATGACGCCGCTCCACTGCGCGCGCCAAGTTCGACCACGCCGTGCTGGTAGAGTTCCTCTGCCGGCAGGTGAGCAGTGCTCTGGCCTGACCTGACGCGACCTGAGAGGATATGCCAACATGAGCAGCCTATTGACCTGACCTCACCCGACCTGAGAGAACGTGCCAACATGAGCAGTCCATTGGCCTGACCTGAGGAAGCGTAAAAATATGAACAGTACTGACTGACTGACCTGACCTGACCTGACCTAACCTGAGAGGACGTGCTGACATGTCTCCGGACCCGTAATGGTGCCTCTATTTTTTTATTTTGCTCGTGATCTGGCCTGACCTGGCAGAGTGCGAACAAGTTATCAACGAACTTGGGTAGCGTTGTCGGCTCCGCCTTGAGATCCGTTCTGGCCCAGTGTCCCTTAAAATTTGAAAGTGAAGCCTAATGTGTGCAATTGACACCAGTTAAGTGGAAGAGCCCACAAAGATGGCTTCATATGAAGGCTGTGTAAGTCAAATGCATACTTGCGCTGAATTGTGGGCATTCTCGTTGAAAGCAATCCTTTGTGTGATACCGTGCCTGCAACTGAAGATGCTCTTGCCTATTTGCGGTAGTTCATTAGAGAGCAGCAATGGCCCTGAGCTGCAGAGGTAATCTATAACATCTGCACATTTTGTCAATCGAACCAGCCAATAATCAAATACGTACGATACATCTGAAGGAAAATGATAAAAGACTGACCCGTGTATCAAGAGTTAATGCAGAATGATCCTCGTCGTTTTGTGTCTTGCGTTGCGGTGAGTTTCCAAGAGCTGCATATGTTATAAAGTTAAGCTTGCTGCTATTTATTCTGCCCAGAGAAATGCGTTACTTTTATGAAGATTGTCAGTGTGGTGGATTTTTAAAAAAATTATACGACTGGTCTCGCAGCGGCGTTATTTTGAAGCATTAACCACTCGATTTTATTACATGTTCCTCATCTGCCCGCAGGGTGCGGACGTGTCGGCCCTGGACTCGGAGGAGCGC